CTAAACTATCATCTAAGGTATTAACACATCTAAAAATCTTGAGGTCGTCAGCATACAGCAAATACTCACACCGCAAGTCACTTACTATGTCGTTAATGAAACCCTGGGGTACGCCTGACGTAGCCAACACCGGATATGATTTGTAACCACGATAATCTACACGTAAATGTCTGTTATTAATGTATGACTGGAAAAAATCAAGAAATCTAGACGTTAAACCAATTTTTGACAACTTCTGTATCAAAATACCGTGATCTAAACGGTCGAAAGCTTTTGAAAAATCGGCATAGACTACATCAACCTGCCCTCCTTTGTCCAAAACCTCCGCAGCGTATTGCTTGAAAAATGCTAAATTACTACATGTTGATCTACCTTTATAAAAACCATGTTGACCAGTACAGATGGTACGACTTACATGAGAAAACACGACCTCAAAAAGTACAAACTCAAAAACTTTCGCCATATTGCTCAAGATAACAATCGCTCTATAGTTCTCAATATGTGACCTATCGCCTTTCTTAAAAACTGGAGTAATTTTCGACATTTTCCATTTGTCAGGAAAGGTTGCAGTTTTTAAAGACAAATTAAAAAGGTATGCTAAGGGCTGAGCAAGTACCGAAGCACAATCCTTAAGAAAGAAAGACGGTATGGAATCTGGACCTGTGGAGCATTTAGGTTTCAACTTATTCAGAGCATTTCGTACATGCTTCTCATGAACTGTTATAATAGATAGGCAAGAACTATCGTTCACTGAGGCAGAGTCAGATAAATATTTCGAGGAGGAAATATAAGTAGATTGGAAATATGCTGCAAAGGCGTTCACTATTTGCTCAGGATTTTTCAACTCAGTATTTTCAGAAAACATGTTGCTAGGAATATTGGCGAAATTTTTGCGATGATTTACGAAGGACCAAAAGTTATTAGGGTTGTGAGCCAAAGCGCGCTCGGTTCTTTCAACAAAATTTGAATAAGCCATGTCAATATCGATTTTTATTGTTCTTCGTAAACTGCTAAATAATTCATAATCTGACAAATTACTTGTTCGCTTGTATCGTTTCCAGAGACGATGCTTTTTTCCGATTTTTGAGATAATAGAGCGAGTAAACCATGGAGGATATTTGTTAACTTTCGGCAATGTGTAAGGAACATGTCTATCAAATGCAACATACAATCGTTTATAAAAAAGATCGCAGGCAATATTAATATCCGTAATATGTAACGGGAGAGTTAAATCTAAATTCATGATGCTATTATAAAGAGCCGGGATGTTTGCTTTTTTAAAATTATACTGCGGAATACTGTTTGTATGGAAATTTCTCATGCGACAGGGAAAAGACACACGTACTTCTAGAGGAGGATGATAGGCATCGATAGGCAGTAAAATATCGGATGCAGCACTCACCTGTGCAAAATTATTACAATACACTAAGTCCAATATTACCAAGCTACTCAATAGCGTTTTCTTTCAGTGAAACCAGTGTGTGTACTCGTGCATATTCCAAATTCTTATAACAGATCCAATTTATATATTCATGTTTTTTTGGTGCGCATTTGTGAACTAGTTTTTCACTTATTGTAGAAACATACAGAACTTGAAGCAACTCGGGCTGGTGTTGTCTACTGTCTTCTGCTTTGATTTCCATCTTTGAATGCAGCCGTGCTGTTTGCTCGTGGTTCACTATTATTTTTTTCGATAATTCATCATAGTAATACGGAAAAAGAAAAAGAAACGAAAAATATGCTTCATTGACAGATTACTGCACGCGACACGACATGAGATTTGTTTAATGTTGAAGTGATGAAATGACAATTTGTCCCTTCTTGGATTACTTGAAAGAGTGATGTGCCCTCTACTTCGTTAAGTTGAGTTCAGTTCTAGGGACTAGTTCGTGAACAAACTACTTTATGCAACTATACCACAATATATATATATATATATATATATATATATATCTGTATACAGAAACAGAGCAGATATTCCGGTCTTTCAGTCGAGATAACGTAAAAACGATTCAATTCATATTTTTCAACCATTGCAATGCATTCCACTGATCGCAAATGTATTCTCCCATCACTAACATTATGAGACACTAATTTCACATGTCAATTACGATCTTCTTTGGCCTATTCTCTTCTCCTTCGCCAACCTCTCTGTAGTCTATGCTTTGTGGTCACTTGTTGTGTTATTTGTGGAAAACGGAATTTTGGAAGAACAAATTTCCGTATAAAAAGTGCTCCCTTCAAGATTTTTTTGTTCAGAATTACATATTACACTGTCGTGTACACGTTGAATCTGCACTAACCCCCAATTACGTGTTTATGTTGAGTGTACCACGTACCATCACGGATGGTGCGACTGATTATACTCTGAAGTCAAAACAAAAAACTAAAACTGCAATTGTATGTATGACTGTTGAAAATCTTGAACAGTTTCGAACCAGTAGTGTTAAAATGTCGTTGAGGAACTGGAAAGAAGTGTATGAATGTGTTGAAATGCAACACCTAACAAAAATTTGAGTGAAAATGCTTTTTCATGTAAGGGTTTGGAAGTGCAAGTTTGCAAATGTAGGATAAACTATAAACACACGGTAGGCGTTAATGTAATCACATATGGATTACAAAAGTGGCAATAAACATGGAGAAACCTTCAGCTAAACTGAAAGAAATGTATTTTACTCAGACTCATATTTTACAGTGTTTTGTTTCGAATACTTTGATGCTATTTGCTGCCAAAAGTTTGACCGAGAGCTCTTGAGGCTTATTGGGTATATTTGACGAACTGTTTGGTACTCGTACCCTATTGGTGCAAAATAATGGTTTGTTAAATTGTAAAACTCATCCTTAGTCTAATTCTAGCAAAAATTCCATAGGTTTCGGTCCCTGGGAGAGACCACGCTATGCATAAAAATGAAACTATACTTTCTTTAGAATCACTTCTAGCTTGTATTATGGTAGCAATTTCAATTTAAATAACCCCATCTGATCCCCCATTCATCGATAGCCGAACATAAATCTCTGATAAGACATCTCCATTGATCCAATAAGTACATAATATAGACACGCTGTTAAAATACGCCCTGAATCGTGGACAATATAAAGCACCCCCCCCCCCATCTATCTGTGTCTGCATCTGTCGTATGGATAGGTTTATCTTTATCAGACGGTCGATCAGACATTCATGAGGATATTAGATTTGAAAATACCTGCAGCAAAGCAGTCTTCGGATTTATATTCAAGATTTTAGATGATATCAGAGTTGATTCTAGCATCTTTACACGTTAGTAAGAATTATTGTATGGATTTTGATCTGCCTCACGTTAGTAGAACAACGAGAAGGTTCCACAGGTGAATTTCTCCCTAATCTCATCGTTTTGGATGTAACAAGTTCTATATGGTGAGGATGGGAAGCCCAGGTCAGGCCCTTTGGCATAGCGGCAGACGAGAGCCATATCGCCGACAGCCTGTCGATGGTATAGGGTCCCAAGACTGTCTGTTAGAGAAGAGTCATCAAGCATTTGGACAGGCCTTCTCTGAACAGCATTGATGTAACGTAGTCGGAGCGAAGGCTAAGCCTTATCTGAAGACTTTTCTCACAAGGAAAAGATAAAGGTCCACAAGAACTTATGATGATGTAATCCAGGATGCAATGAAAGATAAAGGGTTCGTTGGAGAAGAATTGGTACAAAACAAGAAGTAAAGAGAATTTGTGGACGGTATTATAAAGTAACCTTCGACTTGTCGAACCAAGACCCTTTATTCTTTTTATAGAATGACAAATGAAAACCGATTCGCAGTGGAGGTCGTGCATTTTATTATCTTGTTTCTCCCTGGAGTAAAATTACTTTCATTTATTCGAGGATGATCTTGACAGCAGGGGTACGTTACTGTCTGCCTACAAACGAACGTATTATGCTTTATCGTCTTACCACTACCAGATATCTGCAGAGAGATGAGCTCTATTACAGATGCACATACGTGATTAGTGATTATCCCCTATACGCGCTTATACACCGCATTTGAGATATAGTCGGGTGATTTTAACCATACAATAATGTATTTTCCAAGAAGCTTCCCAACCATATGTTGTATTTGGATGTTCACCTATAATTTCCATCGTCACAACAAGGTTGCCTAGTAGGATTCCCAGTAATTCCTTTGTAAGTAATGAAAACAAACTGCATTTGTTTATTCTTAGACATGACATCAATCTTCCAGCAAAAGGTCACCTCTCAACCTCTTTCGTAATTATCAGGATCATGAATCTCAAAGTGCCAACTGCACGTTCCAAGTGATAATTTTTGTCAAGCAGCAAAACATACCGTGCTGTACTTGAAACGAAACAATGTTGCAAACAGTTCAGGGATCCCATACTCACATTATGGTTTTATAGAATCATTCACGGCGATCGACACCGATTATCTGTGGCGAAGTGGCATGGCGCAGCAGCGAGGCGGATGACGGCTGGCATACCTTGTTTTAAACCACTGACCATTATGTACCAAATTGTAGATAATTTTATAGCGATGATTTGCCATCCTGGACACATCTACTCTAGCGTTTGTATTTTCCCAGTTTCGACAAAGGCCGCCATTTTGTTTTTCAGTGGATTAGGCGTGGCCCCACTCAAAACCATTTCTGACAATTCTGAGGAATAAATATCAGCATATGGTCAAGCTTTACCACGACATAGAACCAACACCCTAGTGATTCATACATATTACTAAGCCAAACAGTCTATCTACAAGTTTGAATTTGTGATGTCCTCAAGTTTAACTAGCCCTAGTTTTAAGCATTTAAATATTTTGAGTATTTATTTTGAGCATAAAAAACGATGCTTTTGGTATAAACAGCTGTAAAGGTCGGTCCAATTCATTATTTTGCTTGTTTTCGGGCCATTTAAACCGCATGAAATAATGAATGAGCAACAGGTATAACATAAGCCCACACGTTGTAAATAACACTTTGGATCTCATTCTTAAATGGAAAAATATTCTCTGCGGCTGTAACGAGTTGAATATTAATTCAAATTTCGTGAAAAATTGTAATTAAAAACAGCGGGAGGCTGAATATAAATAGAGCTGTTTTTATTTTGAAATACGCTATAATTATTTCGGTGGTATAGACATGGCAGTTCAAAATTAACTAAAAAGGGGCAATACGGTCAATTAGAAGATAAAAAACCTTATTCTAAATTCAAGTACTTTTGTGTGGCAAGCTATTGATGCAGTGTCACAAGACCAGTCGGATATCTTTTCTCCAAACTGCAACAAACTAAGGTATGTATATATGATATTGTGATTAAACAGAAGCAATGTTGTCCTAGGCTCTATAGTAATAGTGACATGGCGAATATTTGTTTAGATGTTAATTCAAACATTTTATTGTTAGATTTGCAAGCATGTTTCTAGTTTTGAATAGATAAATTATTCATGAGCAGCATTTTTAATTTCCGATTATTTGTTTGGCTATGTTGCTTCCGATGCATAAGCGAGGCAAGGGTTCCTAGATACGAGATATTTCCATTTTGGCGTATAGTTACCCTGAAGAAGCTATCTTAGGGATGCAAACATCACAATAAAATTCAGATCGATAGATTGGGTGGGACAACAACACAAAAAATAAAGGGCTTGGGGTAATAAGCCACATTTGAATGAAAAATCACATTTCCATCTGGAAGCATCCGAGGCATAGGTATCTATGTCCGAAGTTAATCTTTCTGACAGTTCGCCTGATAGACATCGCTACAATTTATGAATGGCCCTTTTCAACAACCCCACATATTTTTACGTCAAGAAAGCTGTAGGTGACTTAAATTCCAAGATGGATGCCAAATAGAAATTATTTGTGCTGTTTCAAGTCTAAAAACACCTTAATTATGGGTTTATGAAAGAAACCATTTTAACCTGCCCGAGAAGTATTTATTTTATCGATTCCGTTGTCACCGTTTGTTTCTCAAAATGTAAACCTATTGTAGCATTGCAATCGAAATTAAGCAAGTAACGTGATTTTAGGAGTTTCGGTGAAGGCATGAAAATGATTTTTTTTCTGAAACGGCTGCAGATCACCTCTCAATTAACGGGAGTCAACTTCGTATACGGCAGAATCCGGGCATACCTGCGCTTGCAGTGGCATATGATATGATATGCTGCTACTCTCTTCCGTGAAAATAACACACAAATAAACATGAAATACCCACAGAAGGCAAAGTCTGTGCGTGGTGACATGTCTATCCAGTATTTAGTCTATATCGGTATAATTGTCATCATAGGTACAATAGTCATAATCTGGTGTTGACGAATCTGAGAATAGTATATTAGGAAGGTGAAAAAATCATTTGCTTTAGCTGTATGGTTGGATATGTTCAACCTTATAAATATATTATGAACTTTTAAAAGAATTTCTTGACAGTTTTATAAAAAAGGATTTAATATTTTATATAATATTTGAGAGAACCAGCTAATTTATGTATGCGAAGGCGAGGTATTTCCTTTATCCAATTTTTTTGTTTTGTTTAAACTTCATAGAATTATACTACTTTAAGGTAGTAGGCAAATGATTATAAAGCTTCGGAAGGTATCGGAATGATCTCTGCATGGCATTGATATATTAGGCGTTGGTGAACATGCTCTTACTTTATGCCGGGTATCATAGTCGTCAAATGCTGCCTGGTAGTCAACAATAATAATTCAGTCTATCTATGATTATTTTAAAGGACGTCTCCTATACTAATTTAAATTGAGGAAATGTATACCATAAAATCGAGTAGCATTAGTATGAAATGCATCACAGTTATGCTAAAGAAATTTGATACATGTTAATGCAATAGAAAAGTGTGCTATTGTTTGTAAAGCAGCAAATCGCATTATTTTTAAATGAAGTTTGAAGAGTTGATTGTAATAGAACTGAATCTTGGTTCGAGATGTCTCTGATATTGAGGAAGTTATGCCATTATACTTGGAACTGGACTTCTTTAGGAGGTATGTAATTTATTACAAGCTTTTATTTTAGTCTGACCTGTTAGAAGTAAGTACATGTTTTAGTGTAGGGCAGATCTTGAACTTGAATTTTGAACAAAATTGTAAGGTTTGACAAGGGTCATATTATCATGGTGACCTTGAACAAGACATTGACTATGACATTCAAGGTAATTTGATGGTCAAGACGGTTTTCTTAAATTGTAGTTACTATGTTTGACTCCAAAACTGTAAATAGCGGGGAATTTTGTGTTTGTCCACGACCATGGGTATAATTTAAGTGGGCTCAAAAAGTATGAAGAGAACAAAATATTTTGGAAAACCCTGATCATATAGAAAATTTAGCAGAACAAAGTTGTGAGGCTTGAAAGAAGCCAATGAATGGTGATCTTGAAACTGAGCGTGGATTTGACCGACAAGGTCATTTGAAGATGAAGTCAGGTTTCTTAAAACGAAACCCTCATTTCTGCTAGCGGAAATGTAAAAAGCATAAATCTTTATATTAAGCTATGTTCATGAACTTGACGCTGACCGTCAAGGTAATTTGAAAATCAAATAATGATAATTCGTTAAATGCAAATTGTGAACAATTTTACATTCAAGTATGTCATTGTCAATGAACCCGACCATGATCTCCAAGGTCATTTGAAGGTCAGATAGGCTTTTAAGTAAATGCTGGCAGCACCCCAAACATGTGACCAGTACTCGAGGCTACGTCTTATCCAGTACTGTTTAGCCCTAAATGAGAAATTTGGCAACTGATTTACGCTTGTATGTTTTTAGGAAATATTTGAGTGAACTAAGGTCCATTTCTTAATTGTAAGGGCTATGAAACAACGAAATTACCTCATTTGAAGTATCTGTGATCTGGAATCAGTGTGTCACAACTTCGTAGAAATTCGTTTTCTTAATCCAAGGCGAAGCTTTTACTTCCTCCGCATCTGGCGAGGAAGTATTGTCGTCGCAAAAAATCTCGAGAAGCCATTTTCACAACATTGAGGTTTCTGAAAATTGTTCAGTAGGGGCGGAGCTAAGGGCCTCAAAATGAAAAATATCAAAATTACCCAAACCTCGTTCCTTGACGTTTCAAATGTTCCTGGTCATTTTAAGAAAAAAATTAGAAGGGTCTGAAGACTTGGGGTTGGGGGTTGATCGAAACTAACTTTTATCTCAGAGGATCTAAACTTTGTCGAACATAATCTTTTATGAACTGATGGCGGCGTTGCGTGAGAACTGCACAGTCAACCAACCTGGCACCATATTTTTTGAGTATTGATGACCTGTCTTATTTCCCATCTTTTCAGACTCCAGAATACATGAACTATGGATATTGGGCAAACCAGTGCAGATAGTAGCTATCACTACTACGTACCTATACTTTGTACTTAAGCTTGGCCCCCAGTTGATGAAAAACAGAAAAGCTTTTGACATTAAGATGCTCATGATGGTCTATAACGTCCTACAAATAGTATTGAATGCTTATATCGTCTATGGAGTAAGTTTATATCGAAATTTCTAAACATATAATGCGCTTTAGTACTGTCTTGTCCTTTCTGCATTTAGTTCTTTATTCTTGAGTTAATCATTCCTCTATCTTCGCAGTGTTACAGTCTGTTAACGGAATCCTGGGTTAGTTGGAAATGTTTTCCTATGGAGTACTCCAACAGTTTGCATTCTAGAAAAGCTTTAGATCTTGGACAGATATTTTTCCTGCTTAAGGTATTCGATCTGTTCGATACGGTACGTATACACTTAGAATCATCTAATATATAGTCCCTTGAATTTCATTTATATACAAATGGCATGGTTTGACGTTCCGATTATTGGTTGTTTAATTATAAGCGATTCAATGCATAAAAACTCTCAATCATGACAGCTTGTCAGTCGGCCATTTTAAAAGATAGTCATTTTATATTCTAGGACTATAAAGATCTCGTGAGAAACTTTGACACAAAATATCACATCCTGAAATTAATTTTACATTAAAATATGTATAGAATTCATGCGTCAGCTTCGTGTTCCCGAACTTAAGCTAAGTAACTCGAGGGGCCTTTCTGAAAACCACTGTATACGAACAACTACCTTCTGTACTATAAACTGCGAGCTACATTCCGAAGGATCATTTTTAGTGATGTGATTTTGGCTTCTCGAAATCTATGGGGTCTTGTGACTCAGAAATTTCAAAAAAGGAATTCCAGGTAACACTGCCATCTGAAAGAAATCTGCGAAACAGCCTGTCTCCTTACGTTTCCATATTGAGCATAGTTTTGTTCTGTTATATCTAGGATTGAAGCTGATGCAGGATCATAATGTACAAAAAAATTCCTCTTGTCTACACGGCCGGCTGGGAAAAATAAACCTGCCTTTCGATGCGCTATCGATGCACACTGACTCGGACCCAGCCACCTTGAAATTGAAATTGGGATACACCCTCTCCGTTTCTACCCCTCCTCCTCCAATTCTTTGACCATTAAAAAAGTTAAAAAAAACAAGCAGGAGTGTCTGAAGAGTCACAAAACGAAGTTTGCGCACTTTTTCCCTTCGGTTTTTACGCTATACTGCCACTGTGCAGATTTTGGAAAACTACGAGGGTTGATACAGAAATAAGGTTCCTATCGATTTTAAACATTGTTTATTCTTACAGAACTATCACTGGAAATGTGGCGCTTTACTCTATTTTTCTACATAGACGCGATTTTTTTGTACGCATTTTTTTAGACATTATTGCAATATCTGCATCCCAGTGTCACGGAGCTCCGCCGCCCACCCATTGAGGAAGCGTTTTACCTTCTTTTTCACTTCACCGTCGCTCGGGAAGTACTGGTCACTTAATGTTCCTTTAACTACAGCGTCACTATCGAAACTCTTGATATTTTTCAAAATTTTTAGGATTTTCAAGATATCAAAATTTCAAAATTTTCATGACTCTCAAATTTTTCAAAACTTTCGAAATTTCAAGAATTCTTCAGAACTTTCAAAATTTTTTCAATATTCTCAAAGCTGAAATTGCTAACATCTTCAAAATTTTGCGAATATTCAGTATTTTGAAAACTAAAAGAAAATTTGGGTGAACGAGCGATGATGAACTCAAAGAGGAGGTAAAACGCTTCCTCAACGAAATGGTGACGGAGCTACATGGCATTGAAAAAAACTTGAATACCGTCTACAAAAAGGCGTAGAAGAAGATGGCGCTAATGTAGGGAAATAATGCAAAGTTTCGACTAATCAATGATGTACATTTTTGTAAGAATAAGCAATGCTTTGTATTTCCATGATTGATGGGAACCTTATATTTGGATGAACACTCGTACACACCGTTTTGTTCTTTGACATAGTGGTAACCTAGTCTCAAAATTTAATCAAAATCCTAGCGGTACCTTCCAAGCTAACACGGGTGAAGCTCTAGCGGGCAGACAAACCGACAGCCAAACAGACTGTTTTTCGTCATGTAAATGTCATGTTACATCCAGACGACGTATTTCATATTCGAAATTTTACGCGATTGCAATACTGCCTCGCCAGATGATTGGGAATTAAAAGGAAAAACGGATAAAGACAAAGAGCCGGTTGATGTGGTCGATTCATTTTTAGTATATAAGTATTTAAAATACTTATCAAGAATTTTGCTATTTCAGGTCTTCTTCATCTTAAGAAAGAGTTACAGGCAAGTCACTTTTCTCCATCTCTACCACCATACGTGTATGTTGGTCGGAATTTGGGGTGGTATTCAGTTCGTTTGCGGAGGCGAAAGTCTATGGATAGGTTTAGTGAATGCAACAGTCCACACTATAATGTTCACGTACTACTTCTTTGCTGCGTATGATCCCAGGTGGAAAGATAATCTCACTGCGAAAAAAATACTCACGCAGCTGCAGTTGGTAAGTATTTAAGTATGAAAAATATTTTTGGAACAAAATGTAAAAACATATATTCAGTCATCTAACAACATTCTAGAAGATACCTAAGAGAGCTTTTAAAGAACTGTAGGGTAGCAGCTTATTTGTTGAAAAATTGTTTAGTAGACACCAGTACCAGAAATTTTCTTTTTTTCGGACGGAGGGTACCATCATTATTAGGGTTACCATGATGACATTTTGAAAAACAAGAAAAGAAATAACTTATTTTATTGTTTCAGGTTCAATTCCTGTTCTTCTTCTTGAAATTCTCATACTCATTCATACAGATGGATTGCGATTACCCGAAAATTATAAGCTACTTGTTTGCGACTCAAAATCTATTCATGTTCTGCTTATTTTTAGATTTCTACTACAAGGCATACATTCGTCAGAAGAAGAATAAAGAATGACCTGTCACGTATTATTTATTTATAGAAAAAAAAATGAAGTTAGATTTAGTTTCGCTTCGAAAAAAATTCGTGAAATCATTTATGCAAACCGTAGGAATTTATATAAAACCCAATATCTTTTTGATGATGATTTCAAGAAGACATTTCCCCATCAAACAGGATATTTGTGGCTATTGCCATTAAAGCAAATTCAAAAATGACCATTTGTTACTTCTCTCATTCTCAAGTTCTGTTTATGGATGATACTTTATCAGTTTGTAATAACGAGGAGGACAAGAATTTCCAACAGAAATCAATGTGCTGCACAGATGATTACAATGCAACAAACTCCTAAGACAAGCAGACGAGAAATTAATCCTATTCGAAATAATATTCCAATAAAATCAGGAGGATGTATTTCAAAACAGCAATCTGTACAGGCAGTCGCTTATCTTTGCATCTTTCGCTTCCATCAACGATGCTAAACAGAGAATGACTCCATCGGCGATCCTGTAATTGCATTATTACTGGCATCTACTTAGTATTCATCATCGTAGACTTTGTCTTTTGACATCAGGGGCAAGGCATTCTGCAAGTTTTAAAAAGGACGGGAGTACTGCTCACATGTCTTCAGTGCAGATGTTCGGATTACACTCACCATAACACAAGTCTCGACTTTGAATTATTTAACGTCAAAGTCAAAGCTTCATTAGATGAAAAAATGCGTTACTTATTAATTTAAATTTTCTGACAAATAAATCATGGTCTCCTTAGAAAAAAAAATGATACATAACATTACGTGTGATGATATTTCGATGATATTCCAATATTTTATGCACTTGTGAGACATCAGTAGGCTTTACGCTGTTTTCAAAAATCGAAAATTCCAATATGGCTATAAGAAAAATGAAAGTTGAGGCAGGTTGCGGAAAAGCGAAAGACGATTGAGACATGTCATACACGCTATCCCATTTGCCTTAAAAAATGTCGCTATAATGCCACATTCTGACAGCTGTCAAATTAAGCGTTTCGGATTTACTGACAAAAAACGAAAATCAACATTTCCTGTTTTTCGCCGATATTTCCAAAACCAATTTAACGATCGTAAATCTGAAGCCGGCTATCGAATGCCTTAAGTTTCCTCTAAAAGCGTCCTCACTTAACATTTGCTGTAGGTATACAAAAAATAAATTTAACAATGAAATCGTTTTGAAATCAGTTACTTGCAAATATGTAGGAATAATAATAAACATTGCAACAGTGCATACAGTATCAAAACATATACTCGTCGACAGACAAGTGACATGTGACGTGAGGTGCAAGGGCGCTCCATTAGGGCGTGGCAAATAGTTAAGCTACTATTTACACTTGGCAATAATAGATTTTCAGTGAGATTTCTGGTTCGCTTTGGATGAGGGTCTGGTTTAGGGCGCTTTCCTCGACATTTTCTGGTAGGTTTTCATAACTATTTTGACATTTAGGTGCATATCCATGTACATACCTTGTCGTTTCTACTGAAGTAGCAGCATAGGCAGAGACTCAAATACCGGGGAACCACCACTGCTCTAAGGAGCTTAAGAACACCTCCTTTAATACGACTTTTGAACTGCCTAAGCCTAGCAGAACTGAGCACACCACAATCTCAGCACTCTAGGAACAAAGGAGAGGTCGTACCGTCCAGTTCTATATGTATGAAGTTAGGATGAGAGGCAGAAGCCTGTCGCTACTAGTGATTCTCTCTTCATCTCATCAGCAGGAATGAGATAGCAACATTGAATGCCTTCTTGTAGGACGCTGTCATCATGACAGCTGTAGATCGGATTGACCGTTCAGGAGAGGAAGTCGTTGTTATTAGGGAGACATTGATTTCTGATTCCTTTCTGAATTTTCGTGATCCCAGTTCCTATGAAGACTGGACCAAAGGCTTCATACATACCTGGCTCAATCTGGTAACAGGGAATAAGGTGGTGTCCGCACAAAGAAAAATTAGGTGCTTGCCCAGCTGTTCTGGCCGAGAATTAATGAGCCCGTCAAGTTCACGCAAAACTCTTTTGTTTTTTCGCCATCGTCGACTCGGAAAGCAATTAAAAATATTTCCTCGGGTCATAAAAATTCTACTGAAATGAAAGGAACTAATAGAGACGTCCGTGGAAAGTCTCAATTAAAAATTTAATGGTTACGACTCGAAAAATATATGGCTCCTTAATGAGGTTTGGCTGTTAAGCCAATTTAAACGCAATAAAGATCTTATCATTGTGATGTAACGAATGTTTCTAGCATTGTTATCGTATCGATGACTAGAAGTTATTTGAATAAAATTAATGTCGACAGTGTGTTGTCTGTTGTTTGTGTACACCAAGGAAGTTAATGATTTGTGGTTTCCCTACAGAGCATTAATTTTCTAGCGAAGTTTTAATTACTAGTGCTCAAATTCTTTTGGGAACTTTGGCTGATTATAGTGGGTACCCACTACAGAACATACTAAAACACAATGGCGAGTGGTACTAATGAAACATTTTCGGTTAGTAGCTTTCCAATTATTTATTGTTATCGTAAAAAAATGGTGTGAAGTAGATTGGACCAACGATCCTCACGCGAATTACGGCACTGCTATGATGATGATCTAATATGAGTTGCTTAGTTTTGCACTTTTCGATTCCTTTGTTCTAGCGTAGGTTATAAGTAAGAGATGCATGTAAACCAAGGTGACCAGTACTCATTCGTCTTCTGTTAAATAAAGTCGCTTTTTTAAAAAGTCGTTCGTTGTTTGCACATTCTTAATTCGCGTGAACAACAGAGTGGCTAAAAAAATACCTCTGATCCTTAGAATCGAAAATTTGATGAAAAGACTTATAAACGCACAGGGTGTTTCCTAATTGAATGTGAATATTTGTGGGTTCATTTTAAAAAGAAAACTTCATATGAACATATGTCTTTGATGTCTTAACTTCAGAGATACATGGTACTACCCTGTCTTCAGAAATAAATTATTTCATTATTAATATACAGAGTGGCACATCGAAAACGAAACAGACGCATTTACTGGCAGCTTAGTTTATTTTTTAAAAAACGCTCAGACCCGTCGATTTTGTTTTCGATGGGGACACAAGTTTGGCAAAAAATCACGTTAGCACGTGCAGCCCCTTAAGCGGGGGTGACACCACCCCCAAAATCTTAAATGGAAAGGGGGTCGAGTGATACCTTATTTAATAGGTCTTTCAATTCCCTTTATAATGATGTAAAATCAATGTACAATTCAGTAGTTTTGAAGATTTATTGATTTAAAGCTTAAATAAAACTAATACATCATCATTAGTGGAGATCAATACATTTGGCAGCAAAGTAATTTAAGAATGAAGAATGAACTGACCCGTTAGGCAAGTAAATGTTGAAAATGGCCACCATGACTCTCCATGCAATAAAAAAGATTTTGATCAAAACGTTGCCGCTCATTTTGCAATACTTGAGGAGTAATTTGAAGGCACTCATTCACAATTCTTTGTCGCAGGTCTTCTAATGATGTTGGCTGAGTAGCACAGATTTTGCTTTTTAAAAATCTGGCGATCTTGGGGGCCATTCAATGGCACCTCTTCTACCAATCCATCGATCTGGAAACGTCTGATCTAAATACTGTCGGACACGTAATGCGTAATGTGGCGGGGCACCATCCGGTTGGAACATCAACCTATTCGCAATGTACCGACGATCATTCTGATTTTCAATTATGGCTGTTAATGCAGGATCTATGGCGTCTTCCAGTAATTCCAAATACATTTCAACGGTCAAATTTCCAGGTAAGAAAAAAGGACCAACTAAATGATCGCCAAAAATACCAGCCCAAACATTTAATTTTTGTGGCTGCTGTGTATGAACCTCATGATAAATACTGGGATTCGGATCGGACCAATATCGGCAGTTATGACGATTTACTACGCAATTTAAGAAAAAGGAACGTTCGTCGGAAAAGCAAGTGTTGAATAGAAAATGTTCATCGTTTATAATTCGTTCACTCATATCTTCACAAAATTGTAATCGCCGATCAAAATCGTCTTCATTAAGTTCTTCTACCAGGTGAATTTTACACGGATGAAAACTTTGGGCGTTTAGAATCCGTTGGACAGTACGTCGAATAACACCACACACAGTCTCCAATTTGCGGGTACTTAACGTAGGATCTACATAAACTTGCCCTGAAACCCCTTCTATTGCTTTGTTCCTTATGGGATTTTCAATGTTGCGTTTTTTTATTGGCGACTGACCCAGTTTCCCGAAATTTAGCTACAAGTTCTAGAACATATTTTTGATGCACGTTACTGTTCTCATGTCGCTCGTTAAATATTTCTGCTGTTCTATTAGCGCACTGATTATTTCCGAAAAATATTACGATAATTTCAACTCTTTCTCCTGTGGAATGTGCCATGGTTAATTTATGTAAAGCGTTACAACTTATTTTTGCAACAAAGTTTGGTCAAATCAATCGCAAACTGTGTACTAAATTCCTATTTAAAATAAGTACGAGATATTTCCTTATCTTTCTTCAAGAAATAACTTTTTTAACACAAAAAAAACGCTCCAAGAGCTATTCTCAACAACAAAATGATGAACAGACCATGGGCGGAGTGAAGAAAAGCATTTACTTATTAAGTAAATTCTTTTAGTCAAATTTCTTCTGAAAGTAGTACAAACTAATCTGATGTACCTACTAAAGTCTACTTTAAGCTTTAAATCAATAAATCATCAAAACTACTGAACTGAAGTACATTAATTTTATATCATTATAAAGGGAATTGAAAGACCTTTAAAATAAGGTATCACTCGACCCCCCTTTCCATTTAAGATTTTAGGGTTCGTGTCACCCCCGCCAAGTGATTTTTTGCCAAACTTTTGTCCCCCTCCAAAAAAAATTGGCGGGTCTGATTGTTTTTCCAAAAAAAAACTGAGCTGCAAGTAAATGCGTCTGTTTCGTTTTCGATGCGCCACCCTGTATGTAAATACCACTTCAGATACTTCAATGAAATTTGGCATACATGTACTGTATATCAAGAGTCATTTTCGATGTTCTACATTTTTTTTTTAGTTTCCACCAATGGCGTTCGCACCAATTTCACATACCTGTTTTGGTAGACGTTGAAAATTATTCTTGAACCCACCCCACCCCACATTTGGAAGCAAATTTGATCACTTGATTTTTAAGATTGATGCACTGATTTCGCTTAAAAATATAGATCCGTTTCTTAACATAATCGTGATCACCATGCCGATAAACAGCTTCTATTTTTTCAGGTAAAAATCGCACGTCGGAATAAAGAAGTTCAACAACACAAATATGCTCATAAATGAATACAGACTGAAATTTTTATTTTGAGAAAATTTAGTGTCGTGCCACTGCTTCCTATGTTGAAAACTTTACCACCCATGTATCTCAAAAGTTAAGAATCCCCATTTTGAATATTTACATTAAATTAGGAAACATCTAGAATGCTTTCTTCCTGCCGTTTTATAATTTTTGAAATCCATCAATTGCGATTGGTTCCTGTTAAAAAATGGTAGGTACTGAGTTAGCCTACTCTATTACTCTACTGCTTGAAAATTTCATAATCTGCAAAATATTCAGGTTTGCTACTGCAGCGTATACTATGGTAAGTTATTTCATGAGATAACAAAATGCGCACGTATTCTGTTATGCAAAGCTGTTATGTAAGTTTACTTTTTGTGGTACGTGAGATATAAGGTATTCGCATACAGGGTTTGGTGCCATATCGGTATAAAGAGGTTCTTGGTAAAGCGCATATGATCCACTTGAAAACGTCAGCGTTCCGTGAAATAGAAAGCGACAAATTAATTAGTT